TTTCAGCATTTGCTGAAATCCGAGACTTGGTGCACTCCAACCAACTGGCGTGCTGCAACTGTATGGACCCCACTTCGTGAAATGTTGGCACAGAGGGCTCTTGTTGATTTGCTGGCCCGCCTTCACTTAGGGCGGGCACGAGGCTTGCTGGGGCCTTAGCCCAGAACATGTACATCAGGGCAAGGCCCCTACTTGAGGGCTCGTTCCTGACACCTGTATCTGCATGTTTTGTATCTGTTTCGTTTTTTCTGTACCCGTGTGGAAAGGGACTTGTATCCATAGGGATTCGATACCTGGGTCTGCATACTCAATTACCTTTTCGATGCGGACAGGGACCTGTATCAGCCGGGTTTCGATGCCCGTATCTGCATGTTTTATATCTTTTTCATTTTTTCTGTACCCGCGTGGAAGGACTTGAATCCACAGGGCTTCGATACCGGGATCTGCATGTTAGTTACCTTTTGATTTTAGTTTCTGGTTGTTCCCTACGGTACTTGGGATGACTGAACCTAGGACCACTTAGTACTTAGTCGTTGTTTCTAGCGTTGGATCACTGGTAGTTGGAACCGATAGTTTTTCTTTTTCTTTTTCATTCTGGACTTTTCGGGAAGCCCCGACACTGTGTTAGCAACGATTGTCTGCTACACACAGGGCTACGGCACGGGCTGTTTGTAGATGGAGATTGTATGACTGTCTGGTTTTTCTTCCCCTGATACATAAATACAGAGCGTCCGTGTTATTACGTCTTTTACAGGTCGAACGTATCTCGCTGCACGCCAGCAGCCTGATGCTGGTGTTACGCGAGAACGGGAGTGGGTTTGGGGAACGATGGAGTTGTAAGGGGAAGAAGGCCGGAGGAAACCCCCTGAAGAGACACCGTGGCTGGTGTCGAAACGCGGCGTCGGGGACGCCCCACCTGTATTGTGCTGCTTTGTAATATTCGAACGCTTTACTTTGTCTCATGTCGAATGTTACGCGAGTGATGTTGTGCATGAAGACGTTTTGCTTTCATATTCTGTGAATCTGAATCTGATAACAGTGAAAGGATTTAAACCACCAGTACACCTGCACCTAAAATCGCGAATCTACCTGCCCACTGCGCCCCACTATTTTCCGAGCCTTCGGCGTGAGGGTACCTGCAGTGGGAATTTCGGAAGTGGCACTGGTGCCGGCGGTCTGCCTGAAGGGAAAAAAAGAAAAGAAAAGAAAAGAAAAGAAAGGAACAAACATGCCAGAGAGCAATGATGTCGTGAAAGGACGTGATGGAGGCCATACGCAAATGATCACTTTCCTGAATGCATCTGACCACTATTACAGGGAAAGGGAAACGTTGCTGTTACTCCTTTTTTTTCTCGTTTTGTTTTTCTCTTCCTGGCCCTGCCAGCAAGGCAGCGCATATTCCTCTTGCTCAAAATCCCTCGCTGAGGGCATACTCACACTAGCGACGTTGAAATGCATCCAACCACTTTCACGGCCAAAGCGTTGCTGTTTTTTTTTTCTTTTTTTTCTCTTTTTGAGAGTCCGACAGTCCTGCTCCCGGTGTTCTACCTTCTGCTGAAGTGCCCTCGCTGAGGGCAAACTCGCACCAGTACTCCAAAAAGTGTATCCAACTGCAATCTCGGCCAAAGGTTTTTTTTTTTTGTTCTTTTTTGAGAGTCCGACAGTCCTGCTCCCCGTGTTCTACGTTCTGCTGAAGTGCCCTCACTGAGGGCAAACTCGCACGAGTACTCCAAAAAGTGTATCCAACTCCAATCACGGCCAAAGGCTTTTTTTTTCTTGGGACGTACGGATTTGAGATGGGCCCAAAAATACGAAGACCTTCTGACGCTCTGACCCTGCCCCAAGCCCGCCTTTTAATACTTGTGGCGACAAGTTATTTTGCTGCAAGGCTGAGGCCGTGTACTGGTGGTTTAACACATTTCTGCCTCTGAGTCCCAGGTGTGGCCCTAGAATTCCCAAGGTCCTATGTCACATGTAACATAGTCCAACCAGTAGGCCCTTGTGCCGAATGGCTGCTGTAGGGTCCAGTTGGTTGCCATTCTGAGAACGAAAGATAGCACCAGCATCCAAGAAATGTCCATAGACACCCAGAACTGACAAGCAACTGCAGCCAACCGGCCAAGGATAGGTACCAGTTTGGAAACTTTAAGGTCTAAGATCACCAACTGCAGCGAGTACAGAAGCCCACTGTAGTGCCGAAGGAACACACTTGTTCATTTGAATTATTGCATGAGCGCTGTTGTTTGGTTGTGTGACTTACTGCAAGTGTGACTTGGCTGGACACAGTAGGGTAGTCAACAGCGCACGACGCCATAGGTAGGACTTAGGTCAGAGAGAGAGAGAGAGAGAGAAGGGCTTACATGGGAAGAGTCAAAGGCATCCATAGCTGCCAATTGTATGCAAGGTAGAACTGCCTTGTTGTTTGTTGAGTTCGAAATGATAAATCCGGGCTCTCATATGGTGTTCATCTCGTTTCTTGTGTTTTCGAGCTTGGTGTGTATGAGTTGCGAGCTTGCATGTTTGACGGTTGGGTCTTAATTGGCATTTAACTGTATTTGCTAGTTCACTTTCCATTTTCACTAGAAGGGCATTAACCTTTGCCACATCTTGGTCTGCTGTGCTGGGCTGCTGTGCCTGGCTTATACTGGAACCAACACTTTGACTCCCTACAAATAGAGTACTCAGACTTTGAACAGCAACCCCTGAGGCGGCTCCTTGGGTAGCCATGGCTGACCTGACCTCAGCGATTTCTTTTCTCTTCCGCTCTCCACCTGGAACACTATGGGTCTCTGTTGAGCCTCCGTCCTAGTTATTCTGCGGTCATCAGCCCCTGTACTATAGCGATCGCACGTGTAAAATGGAAGCTACTCCTTACAAAAGGACAACCTGTCCTGTCTTTCACTATAATTTCAGTAGTTAACCGGGTGTGTAAAACCATAGATAATGCAAAATGACAGCAAACATACAACCAGTTGTGCTATAAATGCACACAGATCGATTCCTACAACAGTTAAGTCCTTAATTTGTTCTATGAAAGATAATGGAGAGCACTAATTATTATAGGTATATGACTAATCAGTCTGTGCATTGTCTCTAGGACACACAACTGTTCGTCCTATAACTAACCAAAGTAGAATGAAAGGATTTCAGGTCTTAGTTATCGTCCTCAGCTCGGGCCCTAGAGTCCCAATGGTCCTAGACCCAAGAAAAGTGACTAAATCGACAGGCCCAACGGCCGAAGTGTTGACCGCAGTAGGTCGAAAGAGGCCCAGTAGGTGGACAGGAAGTCTTAGGTTGTTACGAGGCCCGGGTCCCGGTAAGAAAAGTCCAAGTCCTAGTCTAAATTTAGCAGCAGCATCGTGGGTGAAGACGGTGAGTTTCCAAACTGGCACCGGTCCGGAGCTAACAAAGATCTCAATTCAGGTGTGAAAGGGCCTTTTTCACCCAATGTAGGCCTCAGGCCTTGTAACTAAGCAACGTGGGCCATGTAAAAGTAAAGCAGCCTGAAAAGGTATCTCGCCAGGGCTCAGAAACGTGAAAAGCAGGTCAAGAGTCCAAGTTCTCTACCAACGGGCACATCCTGAAGCAAAGGGCATTGTCAAAAGACTTACCTGTTCGCCAGCAGTTGTGTAGGTCATGAATAAGGTGTGTCTGTACGAGCAGCCATTGTGCCTGTTCGTGAACAGAGGAAAGGTTGTGTCTGTATGTACA